AAACTTATTAGCTCGGGGTGTTATCAAGTAAAACATTTTATAAAAGGAAGTAGCCTCATACTAGACATACTCTAGCATTGTTTTGTGCCTGTGTTTCGTATCAACAACTTGTTATTTTGTTGTATACCGAATAGTATTGTAATAAACTCTATTAAAAGTGGTGTCGCAGTTTGAATACCCGAAACCAGTAAAATCTAATCATACAGTCCATTAAAAAACACCCAAATATAGGGAGAAATCAGAAAATTACCCCATATTTGCGCAGTTGGGTTAGTAGAAAACAACAAAAAATAATATTATGGCAAGCAGTTGTAAGAAGGTAAAGACATACCATTTTCATTCAGAATGGGAAGAACAAAACTTTTTTACAGAAGTTACAGATAAAAATGTGTGTTTGTTATGTAATACTTCAATCTCCGTTGCTAAAAAAGGAAATATTGAGAGACATCATAAAACTGTAAATTCTAATTTTGAAAAATCATTCCCACTACATTCTGCCGCCAGAAAGGAGAAACTGAAACAGTTAAAAAAGCAGTTAATTTGACAACAATCAATATTTTTAAGAACAGTCGACAAAAATAAGACTACAACTAAAGCATCGTGTGTCCCAGATAATTGCACAAAAAAATAAACCTTATGAAGACGGGAAAATGATAAAACAGGCGTTTTTAGAAGCTGCTGATTCGTTATTTGCCAACTTTAGAAATAAAGAAGAGATAGTTTCAGCTATAAAATCTATGCAACTTTCTGCTAATACAGTGATGAGACGCGTAAAAGTAATGAGCAATGATATTTTTTTACAGTTAAGAACTGACTTAGATAACTGTGTTTATTTTTCACTTCAACTGGATGAATCAAAAGATGTCGTTGACATTGCCCAGATGGCCGTGTTCGTCAGGATGGTTTTTAGTGATTTTACGATTAAAGAAGATCTTTTGAAGTGTATTCCACTGAAAGGACACACTACTGGACAGGAGTTTTCTCATTTAAAAAATATTATTTCTTCCGAGAAAATTCCAATATCGAAAATGGTAGGCTTGACAACCGATGGCGCTCCAGCTATGGTGGGTTGTGATAAGGGTCTGGTGACGTTATGTCGTAAAGATGAAACTTTTCCGCAATTTCTCTGTTACCACTGCATTATCCATCAGCAAGCATTATGTGGAAATTTCCTGAAACTAAACAACGTTATGAAACTGGTTGTAAAAATTGTGAACAAGATTAGAGCTCAAGCGTTACAAAGAAGATTATTCAAAACCTTGGCCGATAAAGTTGACTGTCAATACTCCTTCACTTTGAAGTCCGATGGTTAAGTAGAGGACGGGTGCTGAAACGTTTTAATGATGTCCTATCTGGCATAGTTCAATTTTTCAAACAACGCGATGAACCGACTCTGGAACTAGAAAATTCAATCTGGCTTAGAGATTTTGGTTTTCTCGTGGACATTACAGAGAAATTAAACCAACCCAATTTGCAGCTTCAGGGGAGAGACAAAGAACTAGCGGAAATTATTTCTGATATAGAAGCATTTATCAAAAAGCTGGAGTTTTGGGAACAAAGCCTAATTAACAGCGATGTCAAGCATTTTCCTATTCTTTCAGAAAAAATATCTCAAAATCCATTAGAACCTTATGACAGCAAATATTATGTAGAAATAGTTTCTACCCTGAAGAATAACTTCAAAAATCGTTTTAAGGATTTCAACGAAATGGCGTTAGTAGCGCAGTTTGTTGTTTCACCCTTTATGGAAATTGATATCCAACAGTTTGCAACTTGTGTTATGCAGAACTTTGGCGAAGACATCGCTGCAACAGAAATGGAAGTAATTGAGTTTCAAAATGATTTAGCCTTAAAATCGTTAGTCTCAAGTACCAAATGTATCTGACCTATTGTAAGTAAAGACAAATATTCAGTTCTATGCCGTGTTTAACCTATTTGTGTGAATCTTCTTTTTCCAATATGAAGTTTATTAAGAACAAATATCGCAATCTACTAACAGATGAACATTTGGATAATTGTATTCGAATGGCTGTATCAAATTATACCGCAAATATTAAAAAAATTATTGATGAGTTTGAGTGTCAGCATTCTCATTGAACGTGCTTTTTTTATTTTTCAATGTTTA